TATTTAGAGGTCTTAATATTTATATTTTATGTAATGTGTATTTTTAATAATTTTTATAACATGTGCATAATATTTGTAATAATTCTTATTTATATTATTTTCCTCTTGAGTTATTGATATTTACATAATATTTTTAGTGATTTTTATTTGTGATACTTTACATAATTTACAAGTGATACTTTACAATATTTACATAATATTTTTTATAATTTTTATTTATAATTAATATTTTTTGAGTAATTAAAATATTTTTAGTTTCTCTATTCCAGGTAGTTGAAACGGGAACGTTGCGTTGTCCGATGTGCCGCGAAATGGTTGCTGTACCGGAAAATGGTGTCAGCGCTTTTCCATCAAGCTTTCTCATCAATCAGTTACTCGATTTGATGCAAAAACAGCGTCGTGACATAGTACCAAATTGCTCACAGCACCTGCAAGAGCAGCTTCTGTACTGCGAATCATGCGATCTCGTTTTTTGCCAACTGTGTGCTGCTTCTTCCACGTAATTCTACTTTCCCTTTCCATTAATTTTTAACTTTAAATGACTTGTTTTGATTTTTTGCAAATTTTAGCATTAGGCTTACCGCGACCTCGAAATTACTATAAAATCGATTTTTCGCAGGAAAAATTTTGACGTTTTTGGACGTATAGTAAAGTACCACACGCGCGATTTTCACTTGAAATCAAGCTTACCACAAACTTGAAATCACTAAAATATTGACTTCTTCGGGAGAAATTTCATTATTTATGAACGTATAGTGGAGTATCATACACTCGATTTTCACTTGAAATCAAGATTACCGTAACCTGAAATTACTAAAATATTAACTTTTTCCTGGAAAAAATTTGTTATTTTCGGACATATAATGGGGTAGCGTACATGTGGTTTTGACTTGATGGATGTCAGTGTAACGCGAAAAAATACGCAGAATATTTTGAGCAGATGGGATCATAGCTGAATTTGAAATCTTTAAGTTGTACGTGGATGGTTGACATCTCCTTAAAATTTCAGCCTCCCAGTGGTTTCTGAGTTAGTCAGTTTTCCGCCAAAACTTTCATATGCTCGTACGCAGGGTTTGTTTCTCTATCCTCTGCGACTAGCAACTTTTCCAGTTGCTTTGACCAATACTACATCATCTGGTGGTCAGCCTGCTGATGATTCTGACGTTCGTTTTCATTTCCTGAAAGAAGTACGGTTATTCCAACTGAAACAATTGGCGAAATTTTATTTTTTATTGTTTTTTACTTATGTTTTTTAATATATTTTTATATTTTCATTTACATATTAATATATTTTTGATAATATATAATATTTAGTGGAGTTATTTGAAATTTACACATTCAAAAGGATCAGATAAATTTGCAGTCTGTGTTTCATCCCTTAGCTGTAAACACCCAGAGAGAGCATCGGATGCGAGAGTTGGAGTGGGGATTGTCAGTACAGCCTCTTATTCGCCATTTCGAAAAGAAGCAGATTTAAATAGGCAAACAAAATTAATGTCAATCATTCCCATTGATGTTCCATGTGTTTTTGCAGGCGTGATTGTGCTGATCACACGGTGGTACCGTTCTCGATCGCAATCAAACGTTTATCAGAAATTGTTGTATATAAAGCGAAGCTATGTATTGCTAGTTTAAATACTGCCGCTGTAAATGTTGATCGTGAAACGTCGCAACTGGATCGAAATGTTGATCGAGTGGTCGACGAAATCAATGCTTCATTTCAAGTAGTGCTATGAATTTATGACTAAAAGTACTATAAACATATTATAATATGCTATATAGATACTATAAATATAAATACTATAAATATAAATATTATAAATATAAATACTGTAAATATAAGTACTATAAATATAAATACTATAAGAAAATATAATTACTATAAATGCTCGTTCACCAGTGATTCAAATACGGAACATTCTCCAGTGGTGTACCTGGGCAACCATGCCATTGACTTCAGTTTTGACCTCTTAACATACATTTTTGGTTAGCGGTTCAGCTGAGAGTGTCGTTAATTTGCTGTTCTGACATGTCTTGGGTACTTGCATGAAGACAACCCAGGCGTACGTGGACGTTGGATTTTAAGCTATTTGAAAGACATGCGGCATAGGAATATCCCTGTGAAATTTCAGCTTCCTAGTTTCTGCAATTGCTAAGTTGAATGTGAGTGACAGAAATCCGAACACACACTGACAGCCTCTCGACAGTAATTTGCATAGAAATGCAAAAACATAAAAAATCAAGTTTCGCGTCGTAAGAGACATTCCACTAAAATTTCAGCTTTCCAACTTTTCTGGTTCCCAAGTTAGCGATTTTCGCACCAAAGCTTTCACGTGCCCGTACGCGAAGTCTAGATGTGAGTGAAGCTTGGTACCGTGGTCCGGGGGTCACGAAATTTCGGCGCCGGAACCTGTTTGGTTGCCGAATTAAAATACTCGGACAGACGCACAAATACACATGTGCACATATGTGCGCACACACACAAACATACATACACGTAAAACACACACACACATGCACACCGGAGTTTTTTTTGAAAGAAGAATCACTGAGTTGATGGTTCCTTGCGGAGACGGGATCTGAAAAAAAAATCCCTTTAATTAAAATCCCTTTTACTTAAAAAATCCTTTTTACTCATTTTTCTTGTTCAATAATTCACCAGACTCATTTTTGAGGATTTTCTCTTTTTTTTGCAGGAAATATGCCAGCTAGTGGAAAATCGACGCCGTGAACTCCTTGATAGTGTTCGGATAATGAGAGATGAGAAACGAAAAGCGCTACGCGATCAAATGGATCAAATTGATGCTCATCGTAAAAAGTAATAATTCAAGAACTTTTTTTTCAAGAAAATACCTCCGCAGCCTGATTTCATGGTACCTCTTTGGATAGTTTTGCATGATTAACTCCAAACAGGCGTATAATTAACTACACAGAACATCATATTTTGAAAGACTGTTAGTAGGGATTGTACGGAGGGAATTGCCATGCATGTGGTTTTTTTTGTCTAGAAAAGCAAAGGAAGTGATTATCAGAAATACAGGCATTTTAACCATCAAATGACACCAGTTTTGGTCAGAATTTGTAAAAAATTCAGAAATTTAGTCAGAATTTGCAACGTCTTCCAGTATCTCCTAGCCAGGGATATTCACTCTTTGAATCTTTAAAATTTCTCCAACACTTAGAAGATGTCATATTTCTTAGCCCGATTCTCCAATCAAGCAGTTGGTACCGACAGTTGCTTTGACCAATGTTGCATCGCTTAGTGCTCAGCCTACTGGCAATCCTGACGTTCGTTTTATCGCCTAAAATAACCAGCAATGATTTTAAACGATTTTAACGATTTTCCCGAGTTTCCCGAATGATTTATGTCTAAAACAAGATATGGTATTTTGTCGTGTATTATATGGATTGCTGTAAATTTAGAAGATACAGTTTTACCAGTCGTGCCATAAATTACACCTTAGTGTTGTCTGGTTTACATCTGTACCGTGACTCTAGATAATTTGCGGTAAATGTTCAATTTTGCGGTAAATTTTTCAATTTTGCGGTAAATTTTTTTAGACTGGAAAGAGAACTTCAGAGCTGTCAGTTGGATGTACGTGAAATGGGAGCACGTACAAAACGTGTAATGGAATCAACCGATGAAGCAGCGGCGTTAACGGAACCACGTGAAAATGCCTTTCTAAAACTGCATACTGATACCAAAAAACTTCTCCAGGGTACGATTTAATACATCTACAGTCCTGTCCGAATTTGCAGTGTATAGCCATGAAATTACTAAAATTCATAAATCGGGATAATGAAGACCGCTCTGGATCCGCCTATAGATTAGTACCCACGTACCATCTGCTTAAAAAGGGCTATTGGATACCGATGTAATCCTTGATTTTTGGCGCATTTTTAGCCGAGGATATGCATTTTTTTGTGAGAAAAAAGGCATTCAGAAGTAATTCGACTAGGTACCACGTGTCATCTGGCCCAGCAGGGCTGCCCGGATATACCATCTGATAAGTAATTCCTGATTTTTAATCTATGAAATTTTTCCACTGCAACCGTCACACTGACAAAGTCCAGCCAGAAAAACTTTGGCAGGCCTTTACGCGCTTACCACGCTTTCCCGGGGGACGGGTCTCAGTGCCTTAGCACTAACTTGGACAGGGAACATCATATTATGATTTCAGCGTTCTAGCTTCTCAGATCCCCGAGAACAGGAATGTATGCAACTTGATGGACCGAAATATTCCAATTCAGATTTTAATTTATTTTAATTTATTTTATTAACATTTCCATTTTTATTTGTTTTTTCACAATCCTTTATAATTGCAAACCAGCAAAATTTCAATTTAAAATTTTTGCAGAAATGGAGAAATCACTGAATCAATTTGGTGCGATCTCCGGCTCAACA